TCATGTCTTTAAAAGTTATTCAAGAGTTTTTAGAAGCAGTTAATAGCAAGTAAACATGCAATTTGCGCCTGTTTGCAGTGTTTCGGGATCTGTTTTTATGTTTTGACATCACATGAAAACAGTGGTCTCTGGTTGGTCACTGTCAAAGGTCAAAATAGGTGGCTGGTGGCATTGACTCTTGCATGACAACACCTGTCAGACTCTAGAGATAAGAAAGGTAGCCTAGTGACATTGACATTTCATGAACTCAGTTGTAACACCAAAATTTAAGTGAAAAACTTGGTGGATTTATTTCTTGGTGAAAAATCAATATGCAGATTTCAAGCAGTCATTTTACTTGTCAAATAGCCCGTTATGTAATGAGCCCTTAGGTGATTACTCATATCCATCCCTATTCTTGACATAAGACTGTTAGCTTAACTGCAGTAGAACACCAGCATTGCAGTTACTGTTGTGCACTTAGACAGTTTGTGAAAGAAAGCAGGACTATTCCCAGTCCAGAATTTATCCCCCTGTATGCAAACTAGTAAGCCAGACTGAAAGCAAATCATATGTGCTTTAAAACCCAGTCCCAATCTGACTGAGAGCCCCTCTTCTTCAGCAGCGTCTGTCTCCTGCAGCAATGGTGGCAGTAGCCACTGACTCTTTGAGGAGTCAGCATCTGTTTAAGGTGCTGCACCCCCTCCTCCCACTGTTGGACTGTGTTTTCTGCGTCATTAAGTCCTGCCACAGCTCTAATGATTGAGAGAGAGATGCGCATGTCGTTCCATGAGAGGATCTCTCACCCCCTTGTCTTCAGTCAAGTCATGTCTTCATCTGTGTGTACTCACTGCCTCCATCATCCTAAAGGGAAGGTTCACAAAATGCAAAGCTAGATCAAGAACTCTGAAAGATCTAGCTTTGCATTAATTGCTAAAGTAGTATTAATTGCTAAAGTAGTATCGTTATAGTCTTGTTGAATTTTGTGAATGAGTTTTGAATTAGCCAGATTTTTTTTAATCTACACCATGTCTAAAAGTATCCGGACCCATTCCGCACACAGCTTGTATAGTCTAAAAGTGATTGTCAATAGAATGGGATGCTCTTGAGCAGCCGCAGCCAAAGGTCGTCATGCTCAGTGCCAGGTGTCGGCTAGAGGGGGTGTAAAGCCCCCCAAGCATTGCGCTGTGGAGCTGTGGAAATGTGTTCTCTGGAGTGAAGGAGTAGCACTGAATAACTTGAGTTGATGAGTTGGAGCAGCATTTTTGATCCATCCAACTTCTGTACCTGATCTCACTAATGCTGTTTTGCCTGAATGGAAAAAAAAATCCTCAAATCCTCACAGCAATGTTTCAGCATCTAGTGTAAAGCCTTCCCAGAAGAGTAGAGGCTGTAAAAAGGGAACAAACTCCCTATTAATACCCTTCTTTTTGGAGAAACCTTTTATGACCAGGTGCCTAAAGCTTTGGACATACAGTTTATGTAAAAATTTGTCTCTCTGAAACATACATAAGTACATTTGAGTATATGCAAGAGTGTGTGTATGTGTTTATCTAAGTGGAGGCATTACGCACCCTCATGGCCCTGTGCAGGTAGTATATAAGCGCTAGAAGAAAAGCCTTATCCACAATAGATCAGGCCTAAATTACCATCTTCTCTCACATCTGGGCTTTTGTTCACTTTTTGTTCTGACTGCCAGAAATGATTGAGCTTCTTTCAGCCATTCCCCGCCCCTTTTTTGTGGACTTAAAAAAGGCTTCCTTTTGTTAAAACACACAAAGAGGGTTTAATAGTTTGGAAATATAAGATAGTCAGTTGAACAGAGGTGAAGAGGGCAAAAGTTCAGACAAGAATAAGCTCTTTCTAAGCATACAGAAACTTAAATCCTCTCTTGTTTCAGTACTGTTTTACACTTGATGGACATGTGCGGGTTTTTACACTATTTGGCAATGTTGAGTTCTTGCCAGTGTTCAGCAGAAAAAAGGAAAGCACCTCTTTTGCAAACCATGTACATGCTATTTGTAGCTCTGTATTCTAAAGGCTTGCATATCAAATGCATTAGAAAATTTAAGAAGGCAACCATGTGGTCTTCTTGTGATATGCTGCTGCTAATCCTTTACACTGATCGTTTTGGTTATCATACATATACTGGTAAACAGACCCCTTTTTCTAATTTCTTTTGTTCTGTAGTACCAGATCATTTAAAAGCCCATTGGAAGCATTTTAAAGTATTTGCCAGGGTCCGACATTAATCTGTATTAAATGGTAATATGGCGATAATCAAAGGCAACGAAGCTGTGATACAGAACATGTCCGCGGCCCCAGCGCATGATTTACCATCCATGCAAACGACCTGTCCAGTCACCCGCAAGGGCTTTCCTTTTAATTACACCGTAGATTTCCCCCTGATGAACTCCCTCAGAATTAACACAGGCACGGCTAATTCCAAACCACCCCCCTTCTTCCCTCACTGCGTGTTATTGCTGTTCAAAGAGCATCTGCGCAGTTTAGCTACACAAACATTAGTATTAACGATTGGCCAGTTTGGAACGGGTGACAAACTGCAGGCGGTGTGCCCAGTCCCGAAGCCTGAAACCAATCAGAAAGTTAATGAGGAGAAAAATGACTCCTTTTTCCCGCCAGCGCCCCTTAATTACCTCCACGCCAGAGCGGAGCGCTGGGTAGAGGGAGGAGGAGAAGGAGGAGAAAGTGAAGAGTGGCATGGAGATGAACCCCATATTGCCTAGTGTAGGTTATGAAGGTCAGAAAAGCATCTAAATTGGGTTTGTGTAATCCCCATCATTACTCCTCCTGCTTTCCTTGTAAATGAGATGAACCAGTAGACACCGTAATATCAGTTTCATATTCACACTTAGATGAAGTTTGCACTGACCTGGCTCAGTGCACAAGCTGTGATCATTGGCTTATTGTAATGCACTTTATTGTAATAGTCTGTGCTGTAAGTGTTTCAATTTAACATCATATATAATTAAATTAATTTCTACTCAAATAAAACCAGACTGAGAAGGTTATCATCACTATAATAAAAACTATATTTTTGTTTTAATTTATTTACACACACACACACATATATATATATATATATATATATATATATATATGTATATATATATATATATATATATATATATATATATATATATATCAATTAAAAACATTATTTAATTAATTTACTTTCTTTTTTACATTTTTACACTAAATTCCTTTTTTAAGCATTTTTGACAAATAAATCAGTACAAATTGTGAAATACAAACTTTTCAAGTTTCTTTCAAATTTTCATTAACAGATGTTAAATGTTTTTTCTTCTTCCTATAAAGTTACCAGTTTGTGATGTGATGTTACTTAGAGGGTGCTGTTTCTAGTTGAATATGTGAACCCAAAAAAAAACCAACAATAAAAAAGAATATACAGTACTGTGCAAAAGTCAGAGACCTTTCATTTATGTAATTTTCAGACAAAATGGCCATTAAATAAAAGACCACCAAAACTGTCGGCCATATAAACAGTACTTAAAGATTTCATCTTTAGAATAAAGATAAACAAGCTCCATGCTTGCTTCAGTGTTTTTGTCCATCCAGCCACTATAAGAAGACAACTCATTGCTGTGGGTCTGAAAGGACATATAGCTGTCAAGAAGCCATTACTGAGAAAAGGACACAGACAAAAATTAAGAATATCAAACAAAGAAGCTGCTGGTGTTCTCAGAACAATGGACTCCACAAAGCCAAGACTTCAGTTTTGTTGAATGTGTTTGGGATTACGTGGGTGGTAAGAAGCAAAAAATGCAACTAGTTTCTAAGATTGACAGCTGTCATAAAGTCAAAGTGTGTACACATTAAATACTGGAAAAAAAATATGTATTATATGTAGTTGTTGAGACTTCTATTTATTTTTTTGGTAAATATATTTTCTTTTTTTTACCGTAATTTTGGCTGTTTTGGCTGGAAATTATATGAAATGAAAGGTAGTCTCTGACCTTTGCACAATACTATACTTTTTCACAAAAAATCACGTCTCATCCATTTGCATGTACTAATACAGTCCTGTTTTGAGCTCACTCAACTCTTATATAAAGTATATAGCACTACAGAAAGCTCAGCTCAGTTAAGACGTTGCTTATCCCGCACTCCTTCTTCTAGGCTTTTTTGTACTGTGTGTGCTCAGCAGTCCCCGTGACTCAATACATGTCATGAGGTTCAGTGGTTCTGCCTGTGGAGCTTCAACTCACCGCAGCCTGTGTGATTCATGTGTGAGAGCACTTTGTCTACTTTGTTGTAATGTTGAGTGCTGACAGCAGTATAATTACAAGAAGATAACAGGTTTCCTGTATATTGGTTGGCAAAGATAAACTCACGGTCATAAAAGTGTTTCTCTAACATGTTTTTCATATTTGTATATGTTATGTATTTTTTTAGGCTTCTGGAACAAGATACTACATCATATTACATCTATACTGCATGTACTATGGGTATAAAAAATCCATTGGCGTATGGTGATGTGGTGAATTAACTGTATTCATTTTTGAGCGTTCAAAGCAGTTACAGTCAATTATAATAATAAGCAGTAAAGCATGCGGTTAATTTTTGCCAAAAAATAAAATTGATACCCTTTTTAAAAATAAAAATGAGGTACTCTGATAACATTTGTATATTCAGTGTACTTTTAAAAGTAATTCTAAATTGTACCAAAAGAATAAAATAGTGGTGAAAGTTGAGAATTCCTGAACTGTGTAGTTTCCTGAAGAATCAAATTGAATTGTTATGAGATCAGGTATTTATGAAACCTTAAATATTCTGATGTTATGGACATAAACTTCAAGAGCCAGAGTTGGTGTTTGTATTATAAACCTCTTCTGATTTAACTTATAATTAGGAAACAGCTTAAATGGCTGATTACTATGTATCTCTAGTATTTCAGTATTGTCAGCATTGTGTCAGCTATGCTCTGCCATACCGAGCTGAGTTGTTTTTCACATGGGCCTCTCTGTTGTTCACATCAGCCTTCTCTGCTGACGGAGCTCACGACACCAGCCTGGCCTGCATGTCTATCAGCCCTATGGTGAGCGCAGAGAACAAGCCTGAATGTGAGGCCAACTCAGACACTGGAGTGTTTACTGTGGATTCCATCATAGAGGGAGCTGCCAAGTAAAGTCTCTGAGAACCACATGCAATAGACTTACTGTGGCCCACTGGGGTTAAGTCCTTGTTGTTTTTCCTTCAGGCGTTAACGTTATAAGCTAAAATAAGTTGTAAGCATCAACTGTAGAATTTGATGCTGCTGTATTTTGTTTCTGTTTGATTTCTTTAATTGAATTTAAGAAGTTTGATGAAATGTTTAAAAATCTTGTTTTGTGCCAGATTGAGCATACTCATTTTGATAGTGAGGTCATTTGTGTTTGTTTGAATTGTTTATTTTTTCTATAATCACATTATAATTAAATAGTTTGATTCTAAGACTGACTAATTGATCAACTGAATGAATGATTCTGATATTGCCACATGTCAGTGATAAATGGGGCAACAAGATATAATACAATTCTGGTGATTGTACAAATCGTACACATAAAGTACATTACAGTGCATACATGCAATACTTAATATAAAAGATGGACGCGAATAACATGGGTAGACTATAGGTCGTCACTCAATAAATTCCCAAATACATTCTTACAGGAACCTTGTACTTTAGTGATAATTTATGCTAATCAAAAGAGTTTAATAACCTTGTTGCAGTAGGATAAATAATATTTCTGAAATAATCACTGGAGTGGAGTCATCACTGTATATAGTGATCTGGTTACATTCGAGCTTTTTTTCCTAAAAATGAATCCTTCATTAAATAGTCTTCACTCATAGACGATTCTTACGTCTTTTCTAATACATGGGTAAGCCATTTCATATTCTGCTCATTCTCTAAATTTACTTCACCACAATACACCGTCCAGAGAATAGGTGATGCAGATATGGGTTAGTATGCAGAAAGTGAGCAAGGGATACTAATGAATTATGCTTCAATCTCACTACAACCAATGCAGTGTTTATTTATGGCCACCACGCAAAGGGCATCATTTAACTTGGGATGATTTGCATCAATATCTACCTCCTTGAGAGAGGTTCTTGAGCTTAGAAGTGGACCACTTCTGTTTTTTTTGTTTTTTTTTTTCCCAGTACCATAGAGTTGTCTCCTTTTGCCCTTGATGCTAATAGTCTTTGCAGAACTGTTCTTGATTAGAGAAATAAAAACAAACGAGATGTCCCTGAGCAGCTTTACCTTATATTGTATGCCCTTTGTAGCCATAATAAAATTGTAATTTGGGCAATAGTACAATTACTACTTTCTACATACTCCTTATTCAGTATGTGGACACATTTGCTGCATTCATAGAAGTCACACTTAAGAAATATGTACAAAAAAATCACTAGCAGCACAATAATTTGTAATACAAGCTTCACAACTAGACGTGAGAGTTTTAGAGGGAACTGTTGAGAAGTTTTTTTCATTTTTTTTCTTTTTGCTTCTGCATTGGTTTTTCCAAATTTTTAATTGTATTATTTTTATTTTTAGTCTTTTAGTAATGAGCACATCATTTTTCCTCTGGAGTCATTTACTTTTCTTCACTCTTAAGTTATAATCAGTTCAGTTTTGAACACTTTCACAAACTTTCATAGTTTTACACAGTTTGGTCATGTTAAGATTTACATTCTTTACAACTGCAGCTCAGAACAACTGGCCACAAAACGGTTCTGTTGCCTTAATCGCTGCACTTTGTTACTGTGACTATTACGGAGAATCATTCTGAATGGCATGTTGCAAACGCACCAGTTAATGTTATGTTCAAATAATAAAGCAGCAGGAAAGCTCATTTGCAGTACTCTGGCGTTTATGTGGCTTTGTGCTTTGGGGAAGACAGAACTGTTATTGATGACTGATTTTCACGTTGCTTGTGTGTACAGTGCACCACATAAAAGCGAAAATGAAAATTACTTGTATTTTCTTCGCCCTGCGCTTCTGAAAACATTCACACGATTCCCACCCCATGTGCTGTAATCAATAACCTAACCATCTTGTGTGTTTTTCTTTTTTTCTTTCTTTATTAAACGCACTTACTCTTAATTTCATCCCCCAGTGGTTTTAGTGAGAAGAATGTGGAGTTACCTATGCGGCTTTGACATTATAAATCACCACCACGGAGCGGATCGCCTGGCAGTATCGATTGATCCTGATATATCACAGAAATTTACTGTCACTTCTGTTTTCAATTAAAGATACAATCAGTCAGATAATGACTTAATTGGATTTTACAGAAGATTGACTTTTATTGCCCTGTGCTTTACGAGTTTAGTTAAGGAAGGCCCTTTCATCACGGGGGGTTGTCAGAGGCGGCCCGTCCCATGTCCTTCTGTTGCTGCAAGCCAGCCTGTGTTCCAGCGGCGGCCTGAGAAGTGTCGCTGGATTTGTTTTCCTTGAGCTGCTATTGCGCCATCAATCACGGCCGCCGCATGCGAGGCAGAGCCACGATAAAGCTGTACTCGTCCTCAAGATGCTTCCAAACACACTTACTCTTTGGGGAGGGAGGGGGGCAAGTTCCTCAGCTGCATTTTCATAGTCAGGAGTTCTGAATTTAAGGGAGGGAAGAATCACCATAAAAGTGGTTGATGACCGTGCGTCTGAAACAAGGCCCACTTTAATGCAATTCATCTTTACATATGCGCTGCATGTTGGGCTTGGGATGTAATGGATTGGAAAGAGCAAACTCTGCAGCGCTCAGAGAATTTGTATATTGTTTGGCGACACTCTGCTGAACTGTTCAAGGTTATTGAAAAATCAAGAACAGATTTATCTTAACTAAAACAAACTGGGGGAATACATGATTTGACTCTTCCTGCTCTCTTGCAATATCTAAAATCAGTAGTTATATGTATTGTATTGCTTTGTAAGCTGGGTGTTTCCTCTATGTTCAGTTAAATGGTCTTGTATCAGCAGTGTTAACTGTATATTTCCAAGATGCTGACTGTCTGATAGAAAGCACAGATATATAAGCATAGAAAGAACAGATATATAAATATATGATCATTTGTTATGTCTTAGATTACCCCATAATATTAAGGTTCCCTAAAATCTATCCTAGGTAGGCATTGTGACTGCTTTAAAAATGAATACATTAGTTGCAATGTAAACAAATTTATTCAGAGTCCATTGATGTGAAATGGTTCATTGTAGAGAAACTTACATTATTTCCAGTGGTGGCGATAGGAACCTAGGGTTGTGGTATCTACAATGTAAAAATAGCCATTCTATTTACTATCCAAAAATAATTACTGAACCTGCACGTATTCTGAGCTTTTATAATGTTTATAATGGTAAAATAGTGTTTTCTTTGGATACTGCCTTAGAACGTACCTCTATGCCATGAATGGACTTTCAAAATTTAAGGCCAACACCTTATTTCAAACCTATTGTAAAACAATGTTCAGGCACCAGGAAACATTTGAAACCTTTTCATGTAATAAGTGTCAGTGAGGTAGCATTTACAAACAGTAAACACTTCCTTTCACCACGAATGTGAACAATTCTGACTTGGCAAGTGAAGAATATTGCATTTCACATCAAACCACTTTAAATGACCTTGTTTACATTTTAATGACTTGATTATGCAGAAAAATTGTGCAGGTTTTTTTTATAAATGGCAGAATTGCCGTTTAATTCCTCGTTAACCTCCTGTTTTCCTGTAAGGTGTTGAATAGCAAATGAATCACTCAGGATGTCATTATAGTTTGCCTTAGGAAATACATGTGGGATGTTAGTTATTCGTAATGCATACACAGGACTGTGTTATATGTTCTGGTGCATATGCATTTCTCAAAACATTTCATCCAATTACATATCTGGACTCAGTAATAAATAATAATCTTTTCTGCCTTTTCTACGTTTCTGTATAACATCATGGTGCAGAAAAGCACTTTTAGAGACAAGATTTTTAAAAATGGTAGATCTACCTAGTTCAAAAATTAGTAAAAATATAAGACATCTACAATGAATAATAATCAGGTACTTTTCTGCCTTTTTTCTGTCTGTATAACACGGAGGTGCAGAAAAACAGATCCCAGTTATGGTACCAGTTTTCAGCATTCTTACAACAGATACTGAACATTTAGGTATATCGCTCACATGCAGGATAGCATAGAATTTTCTCATTACATGGTAAAATTAAGGTCAGTCTTTATTAAAAAGGCATTTAGAGTACTATATCTCACTGGTTATCAGTAATTAATTCCTTAAACAGAACATGGAGTAATTGCTGAAATTAAAGGTTGAGTAAATTAAGTACAGTTATAACTTAATTAGCTTTAAAGCTAGTATATTAAAGCACCATTGCACTGGGGCCGTTGGGAATGAACAAGAGAATTGAGTATTGCTTTGACTGTCAGTGTCTATTCTGAGATAGAGTGGGTGTGGCTGGGAGGGGAGGCTGCTGTCAGAATGGCAGTGATTTGAACGCCCTTGGTGACTCTCGTTGCACTGAGAAATTAGCTGAACATTTCACTGAACAGATGTCCCGCTATCACTCACAACTCCGCTACCTATTGGCCGCCTGTCAGTCGCCTCAATTGCAGATCTGCCCACTGGAAGTTAGGTGGACGGGTCATTGGACGTGCTCAGGGTTGAGCCTGCACATAACTGTCACAAAAAAGCTGAACAGCTCCAAAGCTACAGAAGTATGGAAGGTCTCACTAATTAACCTTTTGTGTAGTAATCACCTTTACATTGATCACGACAATCTTTCATGCCATGACAGAGTCTGATATTTCAGATATTTGTGGTGAAATAAAAGAATTTAAATTATATGCCAGTGTACAAAGAAAGTATCTCCATTGTGTCCTTTTATTAATGTTTTTCTTTTTTTTTTCTACACAAAACAATAGGTACACGTAATATTGTTTTAAAGTTTCACTATGTATGGAGTGATAAAACGGGTTGAATATATATTATATAAACATACATTCGAAGATACATTTCCTTTTGCTTTAATATGACCGTTTCAGAGATAAAACAGTATGCTTTAAATATGCATCTTATCGTTGTATACTCATTTGGTCATCTAGTCATGTTCAACTAAGTACGGTACTGTGCAAAAGTCTTTTATTTAATTTCCAGTCCAAACAGCCATTCAGGACAAGTTATTCATTTTTCAGAAAATGTTGCTGAGGAGATTAGATATTAAATAATCCACTTGCACAAGGAAGAGGTAAATCAATGAAAAAACAGGAGTTTGGAGAACTGTAGTTCAAAAACATTGAAAGATATAGAGATAATGGGACTCCTAACAACCCTGCAAGACCTGGTAGACCACCAAAACTGTCACCATCAGAAAAACAGCACTTAAAGCTTTCATCTTTGAGAGGGAAGAAAATCAAGCTTCACTCTTGCTTCAGATCTGAAAAAATCCACAGGTGTTTCTGTCCATCTATCCACAGTGCTCTGGTCTGAAAGGAAACGTGTAGCTCTCAAAAAGCCGTTACTGAGAAAAGGAAAGCGTTGAAAAAGAAGAAAATCTTTAAATCAAACAAAGACGCTGCTGAAGGTGTTCTCAGAACAATGGACTGTCAACCCCAGAGTCCAGACCTCAACATCACTGAATGTGTTTAGGATTACTTGGATTGTGATAAACAGAAAATGCAACCAACATCTAAGAACTGTGGAGGTGTAGAAAAATATCCTTGCAGATTTCTTTGAAAAAGAAAAAAAGCAAATATAGAACACACTAAATACTATAAGATATATGCAGTTTTTGAGATTTCTGTGTAATATTCTGTTAAATATATGTTTAAGTATAAATATAATGGCAATTGCTTGATGGTTGGCATCTTTTAAGTATGTGAACAGTCATATAGTGAAGGGATCACTGGAGCCAATGTGTAGTATGACCATTCAAACAGTGGCTCTAGTGAAAGGTTCTCTGTTGATTTAGATGAGGTTTATAGGTGCTTGCGTCTCAGGCGTGGGACGTTTATAGACTCTATGCTGTCCTTCACTCTATAAAACAGCACTGGGCCTCAGTACTGATAAAGCACAGGCCAGTGCTGCTGATAGCATAATCCGTCCTGTCTTCAACTCCTACTGATATTACAGCAGTATCTATTTCAGTACAGATCCAAATAGGGTTCCACTCTCTTGAAGCCATATGTTCCGTCTCTGTCATCTGTGGGATTCGGGAAAAGTATGGATATTCTGTTGACAAAGTCATAAAGAAAGAAGAGTTTTGGTGATATTCCTCTCTGTGGTGCAGTTACAGATACCAAGAATAATGACTGGATAGAATATACAAAGTTTGAAATTGTAAAATAAAGGAAAGAAAAAAACTGAAAAAGTCTGAATGGGTGAAATTTCACAAGTGAAAAGATGAGAATTCTTTATGAGAATTCAGCATAAGGATATGTGGATTCGTTTACCCTTTTCCTTTTGTGAATAGTCTCTATTTTATTTTAACATTATGTTTTTGTTCTTTCCCATCACTGTTCATTCATATTCCTTATATTACAGTATTATATTGTAAGGTTTCACGCATCTTTTTTTACTTGCATTTTTCAGGAATTGATGAACTGCCGCTAAGCTCAGTATCCATTTGATGTAGATGAGTAAAAGCTGTGCTGGAGGTCTGCTGTCTTTAGTCAGAAATATTCACACTGTTTAGGATTACTGATATTTTATGGGCGTGGCTTTTATTCGGAATACGTCACCATCTGCGTTGACTCTTTTCTGTGCAGGCTTTGCTCTTGAACTAGGCTGTGGCCGTCCAAAAATAAGTATTTTCAAGTAAATTACAATGACTAGGCCGAAACTCTTTGGCTTAGGCTACTCTATAAAGTGGAACAATATAAAATGTCCAGAGCAAGTGACCGTATCCTTCCACGATATTCCTCATTTCAACTTTCAACAGATATCTTTTGTTCATCCTTAGAATCGATCAAACAGTAAATTCTCGCTATTCCACGACATAAAAACAATGTTCTCATCATCTATTTACTGTCTGCCTCACCAGGTTAACTTCATGCTTGCTTGAAGCCATATACATATAATTCATTTTAGAAGAAAATTTATACTGAGTCATTTGCTGTGTTGTCTATTAGGCTGTTTAGCTAATAACTTGTTTTATTACACGCGTTGATTTTGGATGTAATTAAAACTGGTGATGAGTTAGTAAACAACAAAAACACAGGCCTTTATTATACGATCATACTGGCGGGACTTATTAATTATATCAGTTTAATTTGGCGACATATTTCCATTCAGCCATATACAGTTCAATCAGTATATACAGATCTCGTTACCTCAGTATTAATACCGATATATATAATGTTGACATATTTTGATACCCTTTGTTTCATCTTTTGGGGATATTGTGACTCGTGTAAAGAGGAAACCCAAAGCTAAATATTTTTAGCAGTGTAGGTTTAGGTGTAATATTTTATGTTTAGGCCAGTTTAATCATCATCAGTAGACTCATTGGGATCCAAACCATTTTCTGGACACTTGCTGACTGTCCCGTTTTCCCCGTGGACAACGACAAAGTGAATTTTATATCACCACGGCCATAACATGTCAATAATTTTATCCCGTATATAAAATTATCCCCAGCCCCCCTTTCCTCCCCTCCGTATTTATTCGCACGGCGCATTACCGTCACCTTGAAATTTCCTCTGCTATTTGCCAATTAAAAGCTTAACAGCCCTGGAAACGGAGCTGATGTGGGCGAGTTTAGCGCGGGCCCCTCTTCTCAGAGCTGTTCTGCTCGGGGATCCCATTATGTGCTTGACTAAACCCATTTTGAGAAAGAGAAACCCGGCATTGGGTTTCAATGGGACTCCAGCACTGTAAGGATGGACGGGACATCTCGACATGTTAAGCTATAGCCAGCTAATGTATGATCGCCAGCGTGAGGAAATCCTTCAAGTGCACTGACAAAGAGGTTAAATGGGAATTAATATCTTTGCCATCGTAGGAGATTTTGAAATACCAGTGTTGGTCAGTGGTCTAGCACTGGTCAGCTCCTTGTAACTTAAATGGTGCATTCCCCAAGTTCAGCTAAATCCTCTTTTTCTGTTGTTTTTCTTTGCTGAAAACCCTAATAACACACCCCAAAATTTAATCGCCCAATTAAGTCGAATAGCTCACCGTGTGCGCCTGTTTGAAATTCCTCCTGGGAATAAGTTAAGCTCATATTCAAATGCAAACCAGCATATTAGTTCTTCTCTGTTTAATTCGCAGGCACAGCGTGTGGTTAAACTAAAAGTGGCCTCTCGGAGGTCTGGGGTTAAACATTCACTGCAGATTTTTGGGGTGGAAGGAGATGGGGGGAGGGGGGGGAGGATGGTGGGGGGGCATTCCCAGTTGATTTTGGAAATTGCAGCAGCATTGTTGGAATAATTGCTCAGGATCAGGTTGCAGAAATGCACGCAGGTTATGAAGTGGTGCACAACTTGGAGTTGTCCAGTCTGCTTTGCGAGTAGGTTAGTGCCGCTCTATGATTTTTTTTTTTTCACAAAACAGGCTTTTTATTCGTTCACGTGAGTTGCTGAAGTAGGTGTAACGATAAGGCAGTGTTGCATGCGCGTGTCTTTTGGGGAGGTGTAAGTAGTACAAAAAAGAGGGTGTTTGACGTGTTCCCTCATCATTCCCCCGGGGGGGAGTTGAAGTGCATGCGACAGTGATGGGTAGAGATAGCAGCAGTGTGAAGTTGTTCGCTTTCGTTTAGTGGGAGGTCAGATCGTGCAATGCGCGCGGATCCCCGCGTTTGACTTCGGCTCCTCTTCGTTACCACCACCATCATCATCTTCATCATCTCAACGGCGTGGCAAGTTCTGATTTCTCTCTGTTTAGCCTGAGCCTCTAACCCGTAGAGGCCTCTAGCATGAACGGCTACGGCTCGCCGTACCTGTACGTGGGGGGTCCGGTGGCGCAGGCGCGCGCGCCGCTCCAGAGGACGCCCAAGTGCGCGCGCTGCCGCAACCACGGCGTGCTCTCGTGGCTCAAAGGCCACAAGCGCTACTGCCGCTTCAAGGACTGCACGTGCGACAAGTGCATCCTGATCATCGAGCGGCAGCGCGTGATGGCGGCGCAGGTGGCGCTCAGGCGGCAGCAGGCCAGCGAGAGTTTGGAGAGCCTGATCCCGGAGGCGCTGAGGACCCCCGGAGCCGAGCTGCGCTGGAGCGGAGAGGGGCTCAGCACGCAGTCTGGACCAGGTAATACTACAACACAGCGATCAAACAGCATTCACTACACCAACAGAGAAACAAAACAGCTTTAAACCTCTGCTCTCCAGGCATACGGAGCACTTCTGTTACCAAATAAAACTAACACTCAGACGTCAGAACTCATAACTGCGCTTTCCCCGCTGTACGGCAGCGCTTCGGAGGTTTTTAATTTGTGCCGTTTTTGTGGGCCTAAATATAGTTTGTGAATTAAAATACACATTTTCCAATGTAAAGTTTATATAATATATAAAGTTTAAACAGCAATATTTGTCATTGTATAAAACAAGTTTATATAATCAACAGCATAATGATAAAGGTGATGATGATATCACTGATGATAGAAGTTCGGCCTTAAAAAAAGCAAAATGATTGTTACGAAAGACTGAAGTAACTGATAATTATTAATGAAAAAATGCATTTAAATGTACACATTTTATTGCCGTTAGTCCAAACACGCATTACATCTGCTTCACGGTTTATTATCTCCCTTAAGATTTACAAACACCACGCTGTGTTTAGACTAGTATGAAACAACATGCAGGCTGTTTACTTACTGGGAAAAAAACGTGTGAAAGTGAAACGTTTTGTCTTTGCAACAAATTGTAACGTATCATGTCGAAGCAACGTTACAAATAAATTATAAACTACAAATCTATTAAAATACTCAGTGTGTGTATATATATATATATATATATATATATATATATATATATATATATATATATGTTATGGTATGTTGCTAGAATTGTCATTACATTATATACATGCACACACATATATTTATACATAATGATAAATAATTAAATAATAAAAACAACAACTTTTTGGAACTATATTAGCTACTAAACGGGGAAAAATGGGGAAATTACTATTACTGGACAGGGTTATAACTGTTTTATAACTAACTTGCTGAATGGGGTTACCGCAAAGCTGAATGAAAAATAATTAGTTATAGAACAGAAGAGAAAACCATCATTTGACTTAAAAGTGTGTGTAGCAAGTAAGGCTTGGATGTACACTGAATATGCTCATGCTGTCAAAATTTTGAAATATTTACGTATTTAACGCTTATATAAGTTATAATACGTGTAATTTATGTCCAAACAAAGATAGCATCAATAATAATATTAATAAGTAATACAAAACATAATAATAATAAGGAGAAGAATTCTTCTCTGTTCTATGACTAAATATTTTTTATTCAGCTCTGCTGTAACTTCATTTACACATTAGTTTTAACAAAGAAAAAGTTATTACTACTTTCTGTAATGGTCATTTCTCTTATCCTTAGTTGTTAATGCAGTTCAGAAGTGCAAGTAAAGAACCAAAGCGCACTCAATTATTCTGTTGCAGTGGCCTTATGGGGAAACTGGACAGTACAATAAGAGACGAGGCTGAGACCAAATTGACATCGACTTTCCATCAGCCCTTTTGCAGTCAGCCGATCTTTGATCGCTTCAAAGATTACAGTAATCAAGGCAGGACAGCCCCAATCGAAGGCAATAGCCATCATTTCCAGGAGAGCTCCAAACTCAGGTGAAATGTTACCAAATAACAGGCAATCCGTTTGCAAAATGTGGGGCAGGAGAATTGACGGCAGAGCTCTCAGTGGCAGCCAGTCAGCACTTTTGGCTTAAGAGCTGTTATAGGGAATAAAGTGAGGCGGTATAAATCAGAGGCATGCTGGCAGGTGAGTTAACTAACACGCCAATGTTGCTTTCACTGGCTGCAGTGGAAGCAGCTTGGGCCTCTGGCTCCAGTAGTGCAGAAAGAGGCCTAAGACATTTCCCATTTCACTTTTTATTGAAGTCTTGCCTCTCAGCTTTAAAGTGTGTCCAAATTGAAGTCAAGCACATTTTGCTGATGATTGAATACAATCAGTGCTTATGTTTGTTAAAGACAGACCCTGATTTTTAAGGCCAGTTTGTTTGTGTTGTTTTTTACTTGAAGACAACAAGAGATCGGCAGCTTTCTTAGCTCCTCATGAAAATGTATTGTTTATTATCAGTTATGGAGTAACCATGCTTACATACTTTTTAGTGTTTCTCATTTGTGTAATTCACAGAATGGTATGCCTCTACATTTATAGAAAACCTGGTGACACAGTCACTACTTTGTCATTCTAAAATTATAGAACTGACCTTTAAATCTTTAATTTCTGAGTATCTGTCAGACCTTATGATCCTCACTTTCATAAATACATAGCTTATATACAGTTATACGCAAAGGTTTCAACACCCCTTGTCAATTAACGTTTTGTTGATTTTATATGTGAAAATAAATTAAAACATTTTCTAAGTTAACACAATTCCTGTTTATTAGAGTTTAACATATTGGAAAAAAAAACATGAAATATAAAATGTGCCACAACTTTTGCAGAGACCTCGTTTTGGTTGCTATTTTTTCTAATATATTAATTTCAGCACATAAACAGTGATAATAACGTGAAATGTTTGGAAAATGTTAACTTATTTAAACTTATAAAATCAACACAACATGTAATTTGACCAGGGGGCACCCAAACTTTTGTCATATGTCATATGACTGTTAGTTTCATAGTAGTTACTGAATAATCAATAGTAGTTACTGGTTAATAATTTAAAATAGCTTTGTAATTGTATTTAGACATGTAAAAGCCTTAAGATATAAAGCTGAATAACAGTTCTAGCATATGCAAATTTTATTTCTTTTTCATGAATGCATCTTTATTTGTTTTCAGAGCTGAATGAGGACCTGTCCGGCGAGCAGTCTGGTGGAGAGAACAGTGGCAGCACCAGTGACCGAGAGCAAGAAACTGCCAGTTCCCCAGAGGAACCCAAACCCAACCCCTGCTATACCCCCAACACCCCGGACCCTCCTCCTCATCCTGAAGAACCCCGCTACAGTGCATCCAAACCCTGCGATCCAGAACCCAAACCCGACAGCCCAAAGTACCCCAGTGAGCCTAACCTCTTAATCGAGGGTCTTTCGGGTTCCGTCTCCCTCCCCTTCAACCTCAGAGCCAACCGTCCTCCTCTAGAGGTGCTGAAAAAGATCTTCCCTGGCCACAAGCCTGCTGTGCTGGAGCTGATCCTGAGGGGCTGTGGGGGTGACCTGGTTGGTGCCATCGAGATCCTTCTGTCCAGCCGCTCCTCAGCCAAAGGGGACAAGCCCTCTCCCGACGGTTCCGAAGCTCTGGTGCTTCCCTCCAATGGGCATCTCTTCGAGCACCCTTTAAGCTCATATCCGGTTTCTTCCACCAAATGGTCAGTGGGCTCAGCTTTCCGCGTTCCAGATTCACTACGTTTTTCTCCGGAGTCACCCACCGGTGGAATAGTGCCTGGCCCCCTTGGTGTCCCACTGCAGCATGGCTTCCCCCAGCCACCCCGTTACCCACTGATGCTGCGCAACTCACTGAGCCGCGGCCAGGCAGGAGGGCCCTTTGTGCACAGCGACGTGACTCTATGGAATACCATGACCCTGCAGCAGCAGTACCAGCTCCGCTCCCAGTACGTCTCGCCCTTCTCAGGCCCCTCGCCCGGGGCATTCCGCAGCTCACCCCTCCTGACCTCCAGGGCGGCGCAAGAGGAGCAGCGAATTAGTGTCCAAGAGGACGGCTGTCCTGTCACGACCAAACAGACCATATATGCAGCCGACGAGGAATATGATGAAAGATCTGATTCCTCAGACTCAAGGATCCTCAACACGTCCTCCTAACCTCCGACTGTCGGTGAGGAAGTCAACAAATATACCAAAATGTGTCACAAACGGGACTACACTGACAAAAGACATCTGGCAAATCTTGCCCTTGATCCTTGTAGGAGCTTTATGAGAAATATACTGTACATTACTTGAGGTATTGTGTTGCTCTCTAAACTAGGGTGTTTGTTCAGTGCAATGTAGGGATGTAATAGTATCATTCTTAGCAACTCCTACATTTACAATCATCAGTATGATCTGTTCAAAAAGTATGAATGACTGAACATTACTTGGCCAGTAATAACCACTAATTCCCCCTTGCATGAAATGTACTGTAAATAGCAATGCAACGTAGAAATAACCAAACAATAAAGCATGGAAATATGTATACCAAATAAACCCAGTTGGAATTGTCATTGTCATTTATTTACGTGAAATGAATATTGACAAGATGTGAATGTTTGAAGATAATGGATCTTATTTAATATTGTAATTACAAATGAGCAACAGTAGCTCTGTTGGTCAGATGACTGTATTTCTGGGAATAGTTATGTACATAAATATAATGATTGAATAAACAGTCTAAAACAAGTACATCTCTATTTACTTTTCCATTTTCCACTTTGTCACTACTGACAAAAAGCGTAACAATTCTATTCACTTTTTTCACTTCATAACCTTTTATGCAGAATTTCAATGAGAAAATCAGCTCTGATTACAGTCATCTGCGACAACTATGACACAGCTTTACTTAGCCATGAGGTAATCTCTGGACTGTATGAAATAATATAACCCCAGAAATAAAACAGGAATATGAACATGTGAGTGTGTGACTTTATTTTGGCATTGCCTTTTGTTATGGTTAGTGATGTAGTTATGCAGTATCTCTGATAAGTGCATGCATTGTTTTATTTCATTTTTTTTCTTCCATTTCTCCCTGGAGGGAAAACTTTTAAGTTAATAATCACCTGGAAATGGTGAAATCATGATTTTGCTGCAGTTATCGATCTGAGCAAACTTCTTAACCCATAAAAGTGAAATTTTACATTTTCTTTGGTCGTATTATCTGAAGAACACAAATCTGAAGAATTGTTTAAATTGATCAAAAATTATTAAATTGATCAAAGCTGGCTAAAAATGTTAGCACTTAATGTATAATGTTAAATTCTATTTTTTGGTCAAATGGGCCTGATTTTAACAAAGCAATGGAAAATACAAATTTGATTCTAAATGAAAATATGAAATGAAACATGAAAATGTTTTTTAAAAAGCCAACTGAGTATTGTTATTGATCCAGGACACACTTTCAGCGCCTCACATTAAGCAGAACAAGTTCCTTAGCAAACTAAATTTAATAGCATAAGAATGAGTAAGATGATGATACAGATGAAAGCTGAAATTCCCATGAGCTGCATTCACTGCATTGCCATTTAAAAGTACAGAGCCTGGTTGCCTTATCATTTTGAAATCATTAAAACCTAAACAATGTACTAACAATAAAATCACAGGTTGTTGTGCTATCTGAGGTGTGGAACCTGAGCTGAGCTGACAAAAGAGAGAAAGTTAAGATAACAAAGATCTATTTTCACAGTCTTGTTGTATCTATATCTAGCTCTGTATTGCCAGACTACTGTGGACGTAAATCTTAATCTTCATACAAGTTAAAACAATGTTTACATGTCTAAATTCAGACCTCTATATATGCGCACTCAGTTACTGGTAATGCAGTGCTCGCTTTATGGCTGATTGTGGCCAAAAATACAAGCTCTTCATGCAAAGAACAGAGAACAAGTTTTCACCAGTTTTAACAGCAAAAAACTAAGTGACTAGCTCCACCTACAGGTGCATTTCAGAGGGAATCACAGAAAGCTTTCTTAAAGAACTGCGGTTTTTCAGGCTTTCAGCTGGAAAGTGAACCCTGCTCAGAAGAATGAGCTGTAAACACATTCTAGAGAGAATAACACATCAATGTAGGAACAGATACTTGAATATTAGGTGACAACAATGGCGTCTTCTTTATCTTCCTATACACACTTAAAAAAAGAGGATTCTTCAAGGGTTCTTTAGTAAAGGCAATGGTTCTTTTAGAACCATGAGTTCTATATACAACTATTTAATGCTTAAATGTTACTTTGCATGGAGAAATTGTTCTTCAGATTGATGTGTTGTATATGGTTCTACATAGAACCTTTTTGGAAATGGTTCTGTATAGCACTAAACCACGTTCTTTTATTGTTACAAGCTTGACACTGTAACAAAAGCAGGATGCTTTTTGGTTCTATATAAAACCATTTTCAAAAAGGTTCTTTATAGAACCATATACAACACATTCTCCATCAATCTAAAGGACGATTTCACCATGCAAGAAACCATTTAAGCATGAAATGGTTCTATATATAGAACTCATGGTTCTAACAGAACCATTCCCTTTACTACCCTTTACATCTTTTTTAAGTGTGTACAGGGCTGGCTACAAAGTGTGCTTTACGTTGCCCGTAGTTACAAACATTATATTGTTATTGCTACTCAAGCTGTTTTGAACAACCTGTAAACACACAAAGACCTGTATATGTGTACACTGTGAGTGATGGAGAAACATTTAAGTTACCAGTACATTAGTAACTGGATAGTAACTAATTACATTATAATAATAATAATAATAATAATAATAATAATAATAATTTTATCTCCACTCAAGTATGTTTGTGAGGAAAGTAATTAACTCTTTGCTTAGTTACATTTAAATAATTAACATTCAGTTACAAATAGATTTTTATTGGGTCTAATTTCATTACGTTACATTTGGTGACATCATCTATACTTGGTTGCAAAATTACATATGATTAAGACTGCATAATGTGAGAATGACTGAAATTAAAAGAGTTCAAGTGTCAGGAGTATAAAGGCATGGCCCAGTGTTCTATTTTGTCTGTTCCAACTTATTAAATCTCAGAATATTAAATATAAGATGATGCATATCATGGATTGTGAAAACATCTTGCAGTATCTTGATATGATATTTTGGCCATATCGCCCATGCTTATGTTGTCAGATGCACCAAAGACCTCTACCTCTGCAAATGGCACAGCTAATAGCCAAATGCCAGGCCAGTGAATGGTTGAATTAATGCCAAGGTCAAATCCACAAGTCTAAAAACCTAACTCATTATGTCAAAATGGTCACATTTCAGATTTGTGAGGTTTATCATTTTATTTTATTAAAAAGGGATCATAAAAGGGAGGGATAGAGCCTTCAGTTCCTCTTCTAATAGATGCTGGATGTACTAAATTCCCCTGCAGCTCTATAAGTTACTCAGTACTTCAGTAGATTTTTGACCTGCTACTTCCGCTTCTACTGATGTTGTTTTTTAAAGCACTTTTATTGGGAGCATAATTTCACTGCAGTAACAATACTTTTACTTGTGTATGGGTTTAGGCTACTCTACTCAGCTCTGGCTTTAAGCTGAATAACCTTACAGCTCACTCAGCCTGCAGAAACTGCATCAAGTGAGCTTTCAAGCCAGGGAGATCCTCTGCTGTGACTAAACGGCGCCATCTAGCGTTCATTGCACTAAATGCAATGATTACAGTTTAGTCACTCTGGCTAACCTTCACCTCTCATGTTGCACTTATCCTTTGTGTAAAGCATATATCTGCTTAATGAGGCATACGTTCTGTGTGGATATATGACACTTTTAAGAACTTTTGTAACAAAGTGACATAAGGGCATGTTATTGGACTTTACACTACATTGACTTGTCATCAACGGTTACAGCGGGCCAGAGAGGCACTGGATTGTTGAAAGTGTGAAAGATTCGCCACCAATGTCATATTCTTAAAATGCCACATTTAGAAACCCAGCAATGTCTCATTTTCCAGATGCGAAGCAGAGTACTTCTACTGAATGAAGTACAATACTTCCTTACTCAAGCAAAAGTTAATGTACACTTGGTAAAATACAATTTGAGTAAAAGTACGAAAGTATTTGCCTGTGGATGTACTTTTACTATCAAAAGTAAAAGTACTTTGAGTTATAATATTATTTTGATGAACAAGCTCTATTAAAGAGGTAATCAATAGAACTTGTTCATCAAAATAATATACAAAATGTATTATAACTCAAGTACTTGTACTTTTCTTAAGTACTTTCACAAGCAAATATTTTTGTACTTTTGCTTAAGTAAAAATATAGTTAGAGTACTTGTAAAACAGTACCAATAGTACATACTGTACTTTATCCATCTCTGCTCATTTTTAAGAACCAATAAAGGACAAACACTAGTAAGTAAAACTAACACAGCAATTGGTGTAGTGTTGAAGGGGAATTCCACCATTTTTTTTTCCAAATTTTGCCATGATTCATTGAAATACACACAAAGCCATTCAGAGTGGTTCAATGCGAAATGGTTATAGAGAAATGTTTAGACTTTTTTGCGGTATTGGTCAGGGGTTGTGATGTCTGCAATGCATTTTATTTGCCATCCAAAACAATCAGTGAAGCTGCATGAGTCTTCTGACTTTAATATGCAATGTTGATAATGGCGAAATAGTGATGAGTTTTCATTGAGGGCTACTTTACCTTAGAACACCCTGCATATACCTCTGTGCCCTTGTAAAATTAGGTCTAAGACCAAAACATTTTTCACAAAACTATTGTAAAACAATGTCTCAGGCATCAGGTGGTGTATAAAAATGTAGATTTTAAACTCTTCGGACGTCTGGTTCCTATCATCACTGCTGTAAACAATTCAAACTGTATAAGTTTCTATAGAATGGAGCATTCTACACCAAACCACTCTGAATGCCCTTGTTTACATCTTAATGACTAAATACTGCAGCAAATTTAGAAACATTTGTGAAATCCCCCTTTAATGGTATTAGTGGCATTAGTTGTAATTATTAGAAGTTTATAAGACACTATTAAATAAGTAATGTTTGTCTGTAATGTATTTTATGGCCTAATATGTAATATCAAGTATCTGCTTAGGAAAAAAAAATCTCCAGTGTTGAATTGATTTG